GATAATTTTTTATTCTAGGTATTTGAGTTATTAAATCTTAAAAATATATATGTTGTTTTAAATACTTAAGAAATCTTATTAATGTAATTTAGTTTTAGGCTGTTCTTTTCTTTTAGAAAATTAAAATTTACTAGCTGTAACTTCTGCCAGAAAGTCTTATGTCTGTATCTTGAACATATGATGTATCTTCTGGGGGAAAGCCGTATTTCTTAGTACTTTTTTTTTTTTTAAGACTTTATTTATTTATTTGAGAGAGAGAGAGAGAATGAGAGATAGAGAGCACGAGAGGGAAGAGGGTCAGAAGGAGAAGCAGACTCCCTGCTGAGCAGGGAGCCCGATGTGGGACTCGATCCCGGGACTCCAGGATCATGACCTGAGCCGAAGGCAGTCGCTTAACCAACTGAGCCACCCAGGTGCCCAGTACTTTTATTTTCTAGTGCCTCTACCTCAAGAGTTTTGTTGTAAGGTACAACTAAATGTCATAAGGGGATTCTCTTAATGCTTTAAGACTGAGGTGAATTTTTCATGCTTTCTAAATTGTGATCAGGGGTTTTTTGGGATAACAGATTCTAAAATAGATGTAATAGTAAAATTTTAATATATTACCTTAGTTGAGAAAATATTATACAATTTCTAGAATTTGTTAGGGAATAGTATAAAGTAGTTGAAATGGAAATATGTTGCCTGGAAAAAATCAGATTATTATGAAAATGTAAAATTAATTCAATGAACAAAATTTATTGAGTGTTCAAAGCATTAGGTTCTAGAGTAGCCACTACTGATTCTAAGGCAAACACTATATATTTCTTTCTTTCTCAAAAGTTTGTAATCCATGAAACGAATATAACACTGTATGTTAACTAACTGGAATTAAAATAAAAACTTAGAAAAATGTTTGTTATCCACTAAGGGAGACAGACCTATACATATAGGGTTATAATACAGTGTAATTAACACTGCAGTAGAGGAATACACAAGGGCCCCATGGGAGAGCATCTACCCCACATTAGTGGGGAGAAGGAGGATAGTCAGGGAATCAAGTCGGCTTTTGGGAATAAGATGGTGTTTAAGCTGAATTTTTTTTTTTTAAAGATTTTATTTATTTATCTGACAGAAGGAGACAAAGCGAGAGAGGGAACACAAGCAG